TTGATGTAAGTGCTACTCAAGTGGAGATTTCTGGCTCAATCCACAAGAAAAAACTCATTTTGGCAAAACCTTTAAAGATACGTGTTGTAATTGATATCTATATATACTTAAACAGTTAAATGTGTAAAACGATGATTTTTCCTGTAGTGTATTGCCTTACATTAAATTAATTTGTTTTATGATGAGACCAATGATAAGACTCTTATGTACATTATGGGGTTTTGTAACACTAGCGACACTTACTCGTCTGTCCTGTAGAGGGCCAGGGCATGTCCCGTGAAGTCGATGACGTCCTGTCCTAAGTCAAACTTCTTGTACACTTCTCCCATTGTTGTGAGTTTAGGATCGACGCCCTCAAAAGTCTTGGGGTCATTCTCATCAAAGTTGGCTACAAAAACTAGGAACTTGCGGAATCGTCTCTTCTCAAACATTCCCATTAGGTCTAGGCAACACATGTCATGTGTCAACTAAATTAATCTATGTTTTTATCAAAAACAGTCATTCTTGATTTAGTCCTAGAGAGAATAAAAATGCTAGCTGGACTTACTTGAAGCCAGTGCCTCTGTCTCAGTAGAGGGCACTTTGTAGATTTTTCCTCCTTTATACACAAAGCTTCCCTCAACCACTTTGAAGTCAAGGTATCTGGTCACTTCAGTGTATAGAAGCATCTTAACTAACTGACCTTAAAGAAGATAGCAATGACAAAATGACGTGGTACATCATTATTTGGAATGTTATGAAAAATTACATAATTGCATGAATTAATAGGCACCAATCTAATCCAAAAACATGTTTTGAGCAATATTATCACACCAACAATCATGTTACTTAAGTATTTTTACCATTAGCCATTAAGAATTTAGGAATAAGGTCCACATTCCAGTCTCTTCCCCGGCCCATTGACTCTGGGGGGCTGTCTGAAATCCCAAATCTCTTATAGAGCTGAGAGAAAAGCATGTAAAATGTGAGTGCATGTATAAAAAAACAAAGGATAAATAAAATATATGTACGTCAGATAATCATATTTTTGAAGATGATCTCAATTGATTTTATAATAATATAAATGTTAATATAACATTGATATTAAAATATTAATTTGTTAAAATACATGGCAACAAATGACAACATTAATTATTAATATTTTATTATTAATTGCAATTATATAATAGTTAACGTGTGGAATATCAAGCAGGCATGAGATTGGAGTAGTGACAGTGGGAAATGTGAAGCATCCTCACCTCCTCCAGGGGTGTGATGGAGGAACTTTCACCACCATAGTATGGATTTCTGTCCATATGCAAAACTTTCTTCCCATTCACAGACATGATCCCAGAGAGAATACATTCCTACACAAACAAACATCATTTAGTTGAAATAATCCGTCATGGATACATATCATTTTTCCCCCCCATTCATCTGTTGACATGGCAGCGGGTATCTATGCATTGCCTTGACTTCCGTGTTAAACACTGGGATGGATGCGAGTCACCCCACCCAACTAGTGATGGAAAGTCCGAATCATTTCAGCGAATCGGTTCTTTTGAACAGTTCTAATTGTAATGAAGCGCTTCGAAAAACGAATTCTTCTGATTCGTCTACGTCATTCTGACATCCTGGCGTGGCCTATTTAGTGTTTTAAAGTTTGATTAACAATTGTGCTATTTATTGTAATTTTTGTGTGTTCCAATTCCGTTTGTTACAGCCATGACACAAAAAAGAAATAATTTAGAACCTACCTATAATTTACATTTACATTAAACAAAATACTACCATTTGTTTACATATTGGCTGAAGTTTTACATCCAACTGTTTGTGTTTTAAAACTACCGTATAATCAAGTCGTAAATACATTTCCAGGAGATATTTATAAAATGTCTACTATTCGGCTATTAACGAGTCAACGACCGAAGAACCCCTCATATTGATTCACTGGAAAGATCCGACTCATCGTTACACCCAGCCCAGATCAGCCACTAGGCTATCCTCCATGAGGAAAATAGAGGAAACGTTTGATAAAAACACTTCTGCTTTTTACGTTTTTGTTATTATTATTAACAATACTGTTTTTGGCACGTATTTATGCAATGTCAAGCTCCCACGTCTGTTAAATTGGGCTCTTTAGATTATAACAATAACAAAAATAAATACCCACTAAAACCATAATAACAGACAAACAATGAACTAACATCACTTAAGTACAATACAGCTTTTACGTTGGCAAATCATAAAAGGCAAAATATCCGCAATAAATACATACATTTCGCCTATTTCGACTCACGAGCAAACGGGATACCTGATGCCACTCCTTAGAACCAGACACTGAGGGAAGAATCATTCATTACTTTTTAATAACCGCTTTCATGTCAATATAATGATGCAGCCTCAATGGCTTTGAACATTCGGGGGAAGGTGGATTTAGGATGGATTGCACTCGTATTCAAGCAGAAATTGCGAGAAATGCTGGCTCACTACACACACATACAGAACTGGTCCAAAGGATGCGTCAGCAATAGGCCCTCGGGTTCAATCTAACGCAAAGCATCTATTCGTACAGCCACATCTATAAGCACCCGAGCATCCTTCGGCAACATCTTAATCTGTTTCCAAAGCGAGCGAGTCATCAGTGACCCGAATGCGCTACTCACTGTGAGTCCGGTGCCCAATACGATAACATCATATTCCTCATCCATGTTGTATTACAGTGGATCTCCCGTCTTTAGCCAAATTTCCGCTGCAAAAAAATCTCCAAAACGGTGTTGATGCAACAAACTATTTATGCAGAACCAGTCTGTTGTCCTATGAGCGGCAAAAACCACCTCTTTGCAAACAATTATCGCTCAAATAATTTGATACGTATCACAATTGATCACTGACTGTGTTGTGAGACCGGCGAGAACAACCAAAGATGGCCCTGACCGCAGCACGAGCTCCAGCGGTGCGGAGACATTCGCGAAATAACATAGTACACCTCCCTAATCGGAGATGATCGATATTGCTATGGATGTCATCAACCCAGAGTTACAATTCAACCGTAAATATAGATGCTTTAAAAATACAAATGATAATTCACGTCCTGGGGAATCGTATTGAATACATTTGAATACGCTCGGTGGTACTTTCATTTCCCAATCTTCCAGCTGAATGGCACAGGGCGCAGTCACAGTACCAGATATCCCTCCGCCAACAACACCGTGGATGAAGCCTCTGTCAATAATGCGTGAATTAACGCGGCGATGATTAAGATAAGAGCTGTTATAGTGTTCTGCAAACGCAAAGGATTTTTCTACTTATATATCAACATGCTCATGATAATATGAGATATGTTAGTAATTAAAATAAGCTTGATTAAAATGCGATCATATGACAGAGACTGTCTGTCAATATTTAAGCCCAATAAAGTGGTCCTGAAATTACAGCGTCATCACAATGCACTCCAGGTGTTTAGAGATAAATGCAACTTTACATTGAGTAATAAGAAGCAGATTATCTCTATGTAGTCTTACAAAACAAAGATAGTTTTGGATGAACTGTTAGCAATTTTATATTTTTTTATAATAATAGCGAGGACTGATATATGGTATGCATTCGATGCAGTTAGCATAAAGGAGACAAACGACAGATACATCATTAAACTTAACTTAAAATTAAAAGATTTAATTTTTTATAAAATGTTTCTGTTTCTACAGGATAATGCGAGAACCTTTATTTTTTACTGTTGTTATGTATTTTACAATGTGCAACGGATCATTGCAGCGTTTCTCTCTGAAGATAGATAGATAGATAGATAGATAGATAGATAGATAGATAGATAGATAGATAGATAGATAGATAGATAGATAGATAGATAGATAGATAGATAGATAGATAGTTTCAAATCGAACTTAAATCTAAAAGTTCATTTTTAAATATTTGTAATCATTATGGCTGAGTTTTAAATTGAGGATGTTTTACAGTGGCTGGATGTTCTTTTTCTAGCTGGCCTGCCGAATTATGCCAACGTAGTTTATTAATATGTTCAGAGATGCGACGCTGCATCTCACGTGAATGAATCGAGTCAGAAGAGAATCACAGGATTGAAGAAAAAAATCAATCACATGATCATCCGCGCGCTGCCATTCACGTGACTCTCCTGCCGAATGACGGAAGTAGGAATGCGGTGCAGTAGCAAGCGCAGTCTGCTCTGATTGGCCAGCTGACCCGGTGCATTGTGATTGGCCGAACACCGCAAGCACTCGTCGGAAATGTAACGCCCCTTACCATAATCGTGAGCTTCATCTTTCAAAATAAATGTAAAGACAGAGCCCGAAAGGGCAACAGAGTCTCGTGACAGACACAGTGATGAATATGTGTTTGCAGTACACAAGCCACGGTTAAGACAGCTGACTCCACTGTGATGTGTCTCGCTCTCGCTCTCTCACTCTCGCTCTCTCTCTCTCTCTCTTTCTCGTTCGCTCGCGCACACACACACGCTGCGCAAAACTCTGCATTTGAACAGTCAGTAGCAAATACTTAAACTAA